TGCCTATGTACGCGCAAAACTGTCAAAGCAGTTCGGTTTCGCCCTTTCCATGTTTCTTTGTGCAGAGAGAATAATACATTCAATATTAAAATTTCCTATTTTTTTATGATATGGTACAAATTCCGAACAATTCAAGAATAACGAGAAGAATAACGAGCTACAACTAATATAAGATACCTTAAAAAATCTGTTGAAAATCCACTAAACAGAAGGAAAGCTATGAGCTATAACTTTCTCGATGTACATCTCTATATTCATCTTCAAAGTTAATATAGTCCCGATGCGCACCTTCAGCAATCGAAAATAAAGTGGTTTTCACCATAATAAACCTACATCGTCAACTTAATATCATCCATACTGCAATTGATCCCGTTTTAGCAGCATCTTGAAATATTCTGTTCATCTATCTACTATACATTCATTTAGCTATATAATGGATATAACTGGTCCTTTTTATCTATTCCGAGGTTTTGGCACTTCCTTTCTCGTTCGCTTAATGTATTTTTCCAATTTTCTCGTTTAAGTTCACGTTTTTCCTCATTTTGAGATCAAATCCAAACAATCAGTTTTGATTTATAGAAGAACTTATAGGGCCACCCTTTATATCTTTCTTTGTGCATAGAGAATAATTCATTCAATATTAAAATTTCCTATTTATTTATGATATAGTCCAACTTCTGCACAAAATAGAGGAAATAAAAATTAATTTTTTAATTAGTGATATATGAGTTTTACTAAACAACCCGGTAGCTATTCATTATATATAGTTCAGATTAGGTATATGTTATTTTAGTTTATAAAAAAGGTATGAATATGACTCATTTCCTGGGAAGTATATACAAATTTTAATTACTTCTAAGAATCAGTAAATATTCAAAACACATTGTTAAATTGCAAACGTTAAATAAAAAAAAATCAAGATATTTAGCAAAATATTTTTTAATTAAGTTTTATTATTATAATTATACCATTTTTACAATTGAGGTATTCTTAAACGACCTACGTATAGAATAAAGGAGGTTAAAATTTAAAAAAATAATAATAAATTTTTTTTTTAATTTAAATTTTTTTTTTTACTATTAAATTATTGCATTAATATTTGTTCGTTAATAAAACCAATATAATGTACCAAAAAGGTTATTATATCACTATAACTAAGCCATTTATGGGCACTGAATGGTGTGGTAGAGGCCTGTAGGCACCCACGCCAGTACCGCTTTTCTGCCGCATAAGTGCATTTTTTACGGAACTACTTAAACATTTGTAAAAAATAATTAGCGTTTCAGAAAGAGAAATATATTCTCCAGATGGTTTATTTTAGCACGTTTTGCGTTATTGTAGGCCGTTTAATTACAAACGACGTTTGATTTGTAACTTGAAAATTTTTTTGTTAAAAAAATTGACTTTACTGGTGTTTTTCATAGCCTTAGCCAATTATTTTTTTAATATTTCTTCATGTTTTATTATTCTATATCTATTCAGCTTTAATACAAGACCAACTATGAGGAAATTAAGCTCAATGCTGATTCTCAGTGACCAAAAAACTAACTAAAGTCAAAGTCGTCAATCCGCCATCTTTGGACGCCATTTTGGGGCAGTGCGTTCATTTTTTTTTGTGGGAACATTGGTTTTTTTTTAATAAATTGTTACAAGGAACACAACGATATGCAATTTATAGGGATGTGGGGGGGGTGCACGGTAAGGGGGTCTGGCCCACCGTGTATTAGAATATTCAGAGCTTCGCCAACAAAAATCTCAGGTACGGAAAGAAGTGGAGAGAGCAGGATTGGATCCGGTTATACTCATAGAGATCAAATTGAAAGGAAAGGGACAAGAGATATCAGGTGAATATGTACATCTTTGGAATGACGTGGGAAGAGATGTGTGAGCCAAGGCTGGTGTTTCGGTTCTGATAAACCTCAAAGAAAAGATCACATATTGTGAGGAAATACCGGAAAGGATTATCCGTGTAGATATGGATATTTTTGGCAGAAAGGTCGCTGTCATAGGCCTCCTATCCTGGTAATAGCGAACCCCCGCAAGGGAAGGATGAATTCGAAGAGGGTTTCAGGCTCGTGCTGGAGAAGATAAATGGGAGCGACGAAGTCATCATTCTTGGGGATTTCAATACACGAGTGGGTCGCCAAGTAGGAAGCAGAGTTGTCGGAAGGTATGAAGAGGCTCAGATTACGGACAACGGAATGAGGCTCTTCGATGTTTGCGAAGCGTTCGATTTACAGATTCAGAACACATTATTTCAGCACAAGCCCTTACACCAATTCACATGGAGTAAGCCTGGATTTCAATCGTCTATACTGGATAATTGCATCACCAGACAAAAACCAAGTTGTAAAGTAGAAGATATGAGGGTGTTCAGGGGTAGGGAATGTGGAACTGATCATTTTATGCTCCGGACCAAGATTGTTTTCTTACGGACAACGGAATGAGGCTCTTCGATGTTTGCGAAGCGTTCGATTTACAGATTCAGAACACATTATTTCAGCACAAGCCCTTACACCAATTCACATGCAGTAAGCCTGGATTTCAATCGTCTATACTGGATTATTGCATCACTAGACAGAAACCAAGTTGTAAAGTAGAAGATATGAGGGTGTTCAGGGGTAGGGAATGTGGAACTGATCATTTTATGTTCCGGACCAAGATTCTTTTCTCGTGTAAAGGTGGACGGGGTCTAAAAGAGGGACGCTGCAAAAACAGAGAGTATCACCTTACCAAAGTACAAATTATATCGCCTTATGGATGACAGTTTTGGAAGATCACACAGAAGCAGACTAGAGGAAAAAATAGATCTGAACCAAGGGAGCACAAAGGGAGTGCATCCACGCAGCAGCTTGGGAGGCGTTAGGGTATGAGGAAAAGAAAAAAAAACAACCAGATTTGTGGTCTGAGGAGGTCTCGGTTTTGTGGAGGTCAAGAAGCATATAAGAAGTACTTAGCATCAAACAGGGACCAGGACTGAATTGTCTACAGAGTTCTAAACAAACGTGTAAAGGAGTTGTAAAGGAGAAGAATAACTCCTGGAAGAGATGCTGCCAGAAAATGGATGGGACACTGGGCTTCAATCGAGTGAGAGAAGCTTGGGGTATTTTGAGGAGCTTGAGGGCACCATGTAAGGGCAATGTTATTTATTCTATCAGTGAGGACTCATGGAAAAAACATTATGAGACCCTCCTTAACGAAAGTAGGGCAAAGTTTATGGCACAAGAGGGCAACGCACAGTAAGACTCCAAGCTGAATCATATGCAAGTAACGGAAGAAGAATTGAGAGCGGCTATAGGCAGAGCTAAAAGCGGAACAGCTCCAGGACCTGGGGGCTTGTATATGGAACTTTTAAAGGCCGGCGGAGATAAGATGCTTACAATCCTTACCATTATGACGAACTGATGATCCCCGAACAGGATACATCTGCTCCATCTTTATAAAAGGAGATAGGAAGCAATGCCAGAATTAACGCTGCATCTGTGTACAGAGCTCAGTAAGTAGGATTGTCGGGAGACTTGTCCGGGATAAGCTTGAAGGAGAGTACACTACACCAGTGATACAAACTGATTTTACTGCCGGGAGATCCTGTATGGACAATATTTTTGTACTCCGACACCTCATTAAGAAATGCAGCGCGAAGAATAGGGAGCTTCATTAGCCTTGATCTGGATTCATTGACATTGATCTGAAGCAGGCATATGATAGTGTTCCTATGGAAAGAATATGGCCAGCACTGAGAAGAGCGGGTATTAATGAATCCACGGTACAAGCAATTCAACACTTGTATGGAAGCGATCTGTACAGAGTGAAGATTGGGAACCGCTTCTCGGAACCATTTTCTAGAACCAAAGGGCTGAAGCAGGGGTGTTGTATGTCTCCAAGCATTTTCAAGATATACTTGGATAAGGTAGTGAAGCAATGGATGAGACGAAGTCGAGACTACAGAGTTTACTTTGATGACGACGAGCTCCTTAGCCTGTTCTTTGCAGAAGATCAAGTAGTGTTGGCCCGAAAGAAAGTTTTCCTGGAGTTGGTGGTTGTCCAATTAAAGAGAGTTTATTAAGAGGCAGATCTCAGGATAAACTTCCAAAAGACTGAGTATATGGCATTGGGAGATGAGGGAGACGATCTACGCATAGGCGAACAGATGTGCAGGTCCTATCTGGACGATGTTGGAACGTCCGAAGTGGATGTCCGAAACAAGGTAGAGATGGCAAGAAAAGAAACTATAATGCTGCATCCTGTTCTCTTCAACGACACTATTTCAAACGCGTATCTTCACAGCAATTGTCAAGTCCATATTAACATGGTCGATGAATGCTGGCTTGCAGGCCAAAATTCGGACTGTAGAAATGGATCTTTGGAGAAGGTGTCTACAGTTAACGAGACTGGACAGAGTCCGAAATGAAGTCGTTAGACAGAGAATAGGTGTAGAGGAGACCGTCTCTGAGAGGATCGGGAAACGGCGATTGAGATGGTGTGGGCATTGCAGGAGAATGGCGGAAGAGCATTGGCCGAACAGAGTCCTGGAATGGCAGCCGCCCGGAAAGCGTAGGTGAGGACGACCCAGAACCACGTGGATGGAAGGAGTCCGAGAGGAGATGGCCGAGCCGAGGTCTACAGAAGGGAGACTGAGAGGATAGAGATGTATGGAGCTCAGCTCTGACCTGAAGAGGTATTCCACTTTGGAACACTGGAAATAAGAAGAAGAAGAAGAAGATTGTTTATATAAAATCTAATAACTAATTTACATTGTTTGTATCTTAGATAGCCATGAGGAAGAGATACATTGTAGGTCGAAACGTTGGACAATATAATAAAATAAAGTGTTTTTTTTTTTTTTTTTACCGCACCCCGACTAATTTCTTGTCTAATTATTATAATTTTGATTTAATGTAATATTTTTGGCCATATTTATACAATATTATTGTTATTATTTCAATTTTATTTTGGGGAAATAAGAGCAGAAATACTAAAATGGACTATCATACTACATCATATTGCTTATCAAACACTGCTTTTATTTCATTTTGACAAGTATTCAGTTATGCGTAGAATGAAACAAGCGTTTAATATTAAAATAATAATGTTTTTTTGTTTCCAAAAAATTACATTAGTTCGCATCGATGAATCAGAATTAAGAGACATTTGGAATACAACTTCTTCTAACCACTTTTTAGCTACATCCGTTCTAGCGAAGATTCCAGGATTCCCAGGTCTAGCGCATCCTTCGCCCCAGGATACAAGGCCCCAGATCACGCCGTAGCAGGATAATGGTCCTCCGGAGTCACCCTGACAGGCGTCTTTCCTTCCCTTTTCTTCCAGAGTACATAACTGAATTTCGTCATTTATTCTTCCCACTACAACAACTTATCTTTATTAATTTATAATAAGTAAGCTCCTAGTAAGGATAAGTAACGAATGTAACCTATTGCCTTGGATACAGAAAGTTATTTACTCATCCCTACATCCTGCTAGTATTCGTAAACAACATCATAGTATTCAGCAGTAATGAAAGAAATATTTAACCTTCATATATAAAGGAAGTAGGTCCCGATTGATGCTTTAATTATGTTCTACAAGCGAGATCATCTCGCTGAGATGGAGTTGAAGGATTGAGAATAAGTTTTATTAGTATAGACATGTTGGGTAGATATTTTTCTGTAGGGGAAGCTAATTACTTTTTTTTTTTTATTTATTTAGACATATAATATTCTGTCACGGGGACAATAATTATATTGATAAATGAACACATTCACACCGTATATACAAAAAAAAATTAACAAAAGTAAAATAATAACTAAATAATAATAAATAAAAACTATATATAATAAAAAAATCAAATAGCCTAAATTTACTTATTAAGTAAATCTTATTATTAAGTAAAACTTATTAAGTAAATTTTTACTTCAGGTATACATTGTAAAGTATGTAACTTCGCTAATTGTGAGCATTGATTAGGCTTTCTATTCTATTCTATATAATATAGGTGATCCATCTATATGGATTATGGATACATATGGCTGCCTTTTAATGTCAGGATTGTATTTCTCTTCCACTTCGTATATTTACCTTATTTGGGACTCTCCTGCAGTCCTATTCCCGGCGGCAACCAATCAACAACTCAAATTGGCCATTGCTGGGCAGATATTTGTTTTACATGGCCGTAGCACATCAGCCTTCACCATTCGTGTCTCCGGTTAACAGATGCTGGGGCCTCCATGCTATCACTAACAACCTCGTTCCCAATTCTGTCCATCATACTCATACGTAGGCATCATCACAGCTTGGACATCAAAAAAGAGCTGGGATGACATGGTCCAGATTTCAGCTGTATAAGGTTCAGCAGTATACTCTACGATGGTTTGGTTTATGTTCTATTTGTTTAGAATCATGTTCTTCCACAATACAGGTTGAAGGATGGTTGTGGCTTTCCGTGCATCGACGTTTTGAAAATTTTTGGATCTTATTTGATATCAGAATTGATTATTAAGTTTTGGTAGGCAATTTTTATAAAAATACTGTCGAATTTGAGATTTAATTCGAATTTGAGATTTGTGATCCACTTCTCTAAACTTTTAAAAATAAAATTGGCTATCTTCAGATCCCAATCCTTCAATTCCAACCTATCCTCGATCTCTACTTCTGATAATTCTCTCTGGAATGCAACAAAGAAAATCCTAAAACACCACACCATTTCACACCCCTCCGACGTGATGATGACTCCTGGGCCTCGTCAGATGAGAACAGGAAAGAGGAATTTGCATCTATCGAAAACATTTATCCCCATCCTGAACAGAATCCCTCTCACACAACCAAACCTGAGGAATTCCTTTCTTCGCCGATTCCTCTCTCCTTACCTCCTAAAGTTGTTAGCCCCTCTGAAGTCAAATTCCTTATAAATAAACTGAAATCCAGAACATCTCCTGGATACAATCTTCTCCAGATCCTTCGACAGCTTCCTAAAAAAGCTATTATATTTCTTAACTACCTATACAATTGAATCCTTCAAACAACCCACTTTCCTCTGATATGAAAGCACTCCATCATTATCTTTTTTCCAAAACCATGAAAATCTGTCAATGAAACCCCTTTCTACAGACCAATAAGCCTTCTTCCGATCCTCTCAAAAATCTTTGAAAAATCCTTCTCAAATAAATCCTACCCATACTTGAATCCCGTAAAATTCCCTCACATCAATTCGGTTTTCCACTCAGAACATTCCACAGTTCGACATGGCCTTCGCATTGTTGATCACATTTCCTCCGCACCTGAAAGCAAGCAATACTGCACCGGCGCCTTTCTAGACGTAGCGCAAGCTTTCGAACAGGTGTGGACGATGACTAGCTTTTCAAGCTCAAAACCCATTTACCCCAATCATTATATTTAATCCTTAGATATTAACTTTCCAATCGTTGCTTTCTGATGCGATGCGGCACAGAACTCTCCAACTATTATCTGGTGTTCCTTAAGGGAGCGTCTTGGAACCAGTTCTTTAGATCCTCTTCACTTCTGACATACCTTCAAATCCCAATACTTTACTGGCAACATTTGCTGATGATACCGCTATTCTTTCCTCCCACTCAGAAACTGAAATGGCACCCCAAAACCTGCAAAGCCACCTTTCCCTAATTGAGCTGTGGTCTAAGGAATGGCGTATTAAAGTAAATGAATCCAAGTTTAAGCATATTACTTTCACACTCCGACGCAAATTCTGTCCGGCTATATTTTTTAACTCTATACCTCTTCCCTTCTCAGACACAGCCCGGTACTTGGGCTTCCTCCTAGACAAGAGATTGACATGGAATCCTCATACCCGACTTAAAAGACATGAACTTAACCGACGATTTGGCCAGCTATTTAGACTACAGAACAGAAACTCTTATGCTTCAATTGAAAACAAACTACTAACATACAAGACCATACTAAACCCATCTGGACCTATGGACTCGAACTGTGGAAGACAGCTAAATCTTCGAACATCTAACGCATCCAATCCTTTCAAACTAAAATCCTTCGAACAATAGTCAATGCTCTCTACTACTTTAAAAATGAAACGCTACATCATGATCTCAACATCCCATTTGTTCTTGACTTAATTCCATGCAGATTCTCAAAGTTCCATCAAAAACTTATCCATCATCCTAACCCATTCGCTCAATCTCTCTCGAGTTCCAACAATGCATATAATTCGGTTGAAACAGAAATGGCCCCGAGACTTTTTGTAAATACGCTATTGGAGTTCTGTGCAGTGGTCAGCTTCTCCGCTCAAGTCCTGAGTGTATGTGGCGTTAGTGTTCTCACTCAGCCTCCACTAACTTTCGAACAGCGATACGACTGGGAGAGAACTCATGGGATCTCATTGAACCATGCTTTGCCTCTCAAATCATGGTTCAGGGTCCCTAGGCTGAATGTAAGTATTGTACATAGGAATGATTGTGACAAGTAATTTGTTTTTCTTTTTATCCTTTTAATATATTTTGGTTTATTATTTTCAATAATGAAACATTGTGATCGACCGAAAAATTCAAAAACATAACCCCCTCTCAAAATTTGAGGTTTCACGTTTCAAGACGCGTAGAATTCCAAAAAACCATTAAAAAATTTTTTGTCCGTCCGCCGTCCGCGCATTTTCTCCGATACTACAGGACCGATTTTTTTTTACAAATTTTGATATAAAATCAGAGGTCACCCGAGGATGATCCTCCTTCATCGACATTACTCTCCGCCTTAAACTTTCAAAATGGCGGCCGAAAAACCTGCGTTGCTATAGACTGTAGCTCCTAAACGAATGTACAGATTTCAATGAAAATTCGCTAAAGTCATTTTCACAACATAGAATCACAGAAATGTGTTCCGAGCCTTCTACGTCCATAATTTCAGCAGAAAAAATTGTTAACCAGCAATCAGAATAGACCGGATAGTCAGAAATTTAAGTTAGAATGCCTAGTCTGTAAATCAAGCCATAAAATTATAAATTGCCCACAGTTTCTGGATGCCGATGTTAATGGTCGTTATGATCTACTAAAGAAGACTGAAATGTGCTTTTCTTGTACCAAATATGCCAAAGTAAAAGCTGTTGCCAAGTTTGTGGCAAAAAGAGTCACCGTACGATGTGACATAAGGCTGCAAACACTGAGCCTTCCCGGTCTCAAGTAACAAACAATTCTCGTACAGTTTCGTTCCATGCTACCACCAAATCACAGGTACTTCTGGGTAGTGCTTAAGGTAGAATTTGTTCAAGTTCAGGTCAGTGGTATTCATGCAGAATGGTGATTGGTACAGGTTTCCAAATCAATTTAATTACTACTGATCTAATGAAAAAGTTACACCTTCGTTCACCGAACGTTAAACGTTGTGGGCTTTAAACACTTAAAAAAAGAGAGTAAAGGTCCAACAAAATGACACGCATGAAATCAGAAACAAGACTGTTTTATTCCTCCTTATAATCCTCTATATATACATTCTCAGTTGTTTACATAAATGCTTTTGGTATTAAAGCTAATACTGTCCCGCTCCGTACCTTAACTCCCCCCCACCAGTTTACGGATACTCTTCGTAAACTTAAAAAAAAAACAAAAAGACATACAACAAAAAGAAACACTCTTATATATACAACGACAAGATTCTCTTGCCCATATTATAACGCAGGTACGGAGTGTTCAGTACTTACAACCTAATTTAAGGAAACACAAACAAAAATATTCCTTATATATCAAAATTAAAAAAAAATACACTTTCCTCTATATAATCTTCGCACAAATGAAAGGCGTATTTCACTGCTTTCACAATCTACACAAAGTTATGTATGAGCACTATATACAAAACAAACAAAACAACAAACAAAGAAAAAAAATCTTCCTCCGGGAGACGAGGGCACTCCAGTTCTAAGGTTGCTGTGACTCCGTAATCGGAAATTTTAATTGTTCTATGTGAACCGTCCTTCGTTTTTTCGGTTCGTTAACACTCTCAATCGTCACCACATTATGCTCTCTAATGACTATCACCCTGAATGGACCCTCGTATCTCCGTACTTCCTTTCCCCTATTCGAGCCTAACTTGCGATACACTATGGACCCTATTTTCAACCCCCCTGTTACGTCCTTCACTTTGAGATTTTCCCGCGCCACCCTTTTCCGCTTTTCCCCCTCTATTTTATCCTTAACCTTCCCCCAGAGATTTCCCAGTTCCATTTTGTTACTAACCATTCTTTCTGTCATTTGCTCGTCAGCAGCTGTACCTCCCCAGTCCCGTTGCCGTCCGCGTAATCCGAAGAGAATTTCAAATGGAGAGAACCCTGTTGTCGTATGTATCGAATGGTTGTACGCCGCCACCGCCTTCCGCATTGCCACATCCGGTT